TTTTTTTTTTTTTTTTTTTTTTGTTGTTGTATTGAAAATCAAACCCATGGACTCATGTATCCTAGGCAAGTGTTCTACCACTGAGCTGCTTACTTCCCTAGACCCCTGGTTCTACTTCCTTTAAAATATGATTGCATTTTAATTTAATGTTGGCTCCTAAAGTACCATAAACTGGGTGGCTTAAACAACAGAAACCTATTTTCTCCCAATTCTAGAGGGTCATATCTGAGATGAAGTTTTGGAAAGGGTTGGTTTTTCTTGAGGCTTCTCTCTCCTGGTTTGTTGATAACTGCCTTTTCCATGTCCTTACATGGTCTTTCCTCTCTGAATGTCCTAATCTCTTCTTCTAAAAGGACATCAGTCATAATGGATTAGGGCACACCTTTATAACTGCATTTTACTTTATCTCTCTAAATACCCTAACTTTTAATATAGTTATATTTTTGGTACTTGGAATGGGGGCTTCAGCCATCAGAGAGAGGAAGCCAAAGAAACATGGTTGAATTTCTGTTTTGATGGAAACGCTCTGTGTGCTGATATGGGAGCAACAAGCTATAGGTGACTGGTAAGCACTTAAAATGTGATTTTTGTAACTTAGGATCTGAAATTTTAATTTTTAAAGAATTGAAATGATACTGAAATTTAAACAGTCAAGTGTCAGGAGGCTACTGTATTGTACAGTATAGGTAAACATCCTAAGAGTTTAAAAAAATTTCAGTTGTACTTTTAGCAGTGAAAATTCTGTTTTACTGATATGGTGTACAGATGTCACCTATAGAAGGTAAATATAAATATGTTCTTCTTTTAGCTTTCTTGACTGCCTGTCCTCCATTGTGATGTAGTACAAGGAGGTAATTGCAACTCACGGTGACACTTTCATGGTAGTTCAGAATTCTCCAAGCTGAACAACGTAGTAGTCTACACTGTACTTCCAGTCCCCTTCTTTGCTTCTCCTGCGTTCCCCAAATGACACTTCCTTGTTGAATGCGTACAGTGATTTGAAGTGGGACCAATCAGCATGTCCTGTGGATGGCCAGTGTAAAGTGTTCTGCCTTCCTTCTGCTGCACGAGAGAAGAGAGTGATAGGTGTTTGGTGCAAGTATTTGGCATGGTGTGTATAGGTGGAGTGATGCAGGAATACAGAATTGTTGATTGCCAATAGATTTGAATTATAGGAGTAATCACTGTCCAGATGAAGTATATGGAAATTCTCTTTGAGCTGTTGGAGAATACTGTTTAAAAAAAAAAGATTAGTGATGATTAGTCTGTATGAGATATTATGTTAGGGTTCACTTTCTGTGTCTTAGATTTATAAATCTGTAATTCTGCCAAAGACTATGGAATCAGTCAGTCTTGTGATTGTGACATGAAGTGTTGACTGTGGCTTGAAGAATTCCTTCTTGCATCATATATGTACTACTCTTTTAGGTGTATGTCATTGTTGGTGTAAGGAGATGCAAATTCGTTGAAAAACTTTACTGAATCACAGTTTTTTTTTTTTTTTTTTTTAAGACGCGGTCTCACTGGGTAGTTCAGAGTGGCCCTGAACTTATAGACTGGCCTCATACCCAGGGCAATCCTCCTGTCTCAGCCTTCTGAGTACTGGGATTACAGGCATGTGCCACCACACCTGGTTTAAATCAAAGTATCTTTTTTGTTTTGAATTTTTCAAGCAGTATCAAAAGTTTAGCCCTTCTGATTTCAAATTCTGTGAGATTGGATGGCCTAAAAAAAAAAGGTTGAAAAGTAACTTTTTAAAGGTATTCTGTTGTGTGGCTCAACTTGTCCTCTGGAGCTCTTTCTCTATTTCACTATTTTAAGTCTCCTGATTATTTTATAAGGTGAAATTAAGTGGTTTGTTATGTATAATGCTGCTCAGCTTTTTTAAATACTAATTTTATGTTAAGATACATTTAATATTCAAATAAATATAACATTTTAGTTGCTGATAATAAAGATCTGAAAATATTGTGGATATAGATGATTAGAAAGTGGTATATGTAAGGAGGTCTGGCATCACTGGGAGTGAGAAAGGCTTCTTTAAGGGGGTGACACTTGTGAGGAGGTGCTACTCCATGGGGAGGGAGTGGAATATGCAAAGGCAACAAGGCCGTCTGGAGAGTTAAATATTGTGTGCTTCTCAGTTCAGGACAAGTTCATATTTTATAGTTGTAGGAATTTCCTCTTTGATCATTTAAATTTTCATTATTATTTGACTTTCTGTTTTTTAATGTTCTTCATCCACATTTTGGAGGCATGCTGAAATTACCAGTTTACCATATTCAATTTTTTAAACTAGAGGTTTCACATGTATATGTTTTTAAGTAGTTTACAAAGTTCATGTGAGAAATCTATTATTGCAAAACTCAAATTACTAAACTGTTATCATTTTCCTAAAATTGCCTTGTTTACATGCCTGTTTTTTCTCTACCCTTTCATTTTTTTCTGCCTTAACTTTGCCACTGTTAAAAAAGTTTACCTGAGAAGGAATTTAATAAACCCTGTTTCTTTTTTTTAACTTTCAACTCATCAAATAACAAGTTTTTGTGCTGTATATAAACTTGAAAAGTCACTTTGAAAATTACACTGATAACAGATAATATTAAAACATTTTAGAAATATTTCTTGAAGTTTTTTTGGGAAAATTACTCTTGAGTGCTGAGGGGTGGAGGACACTTACAAAATACTATGTAGGCCATGCCCTCTAGGAGATTAGAGTAGAATATAGGCCATTATCAAGCACTATTTATTAGTAGTATCTAGAAAAAGTAAATGTTTTTGAATTTATTTGGTGCCTACCGTGCCACTCCTCTGACCCTATTTAAAAATAGAGCTGAGATGTTGCTTTGTCCCATTGCTTCCCTGACTTTAGGCAGAGACTAGAGATACGAGAGAAGATGTACACAGGAAGATGTGCAAAGTGTAGCCCAACTGGGAATTTAAAAGTTAATATTTTCATTTAGCTAGTCTACATTTTGCTCTTATAGGTGAGATTTTTTTCCCCCCTCTTCATGGTAGTCTTTTAGATATTAAAGTAGAGTTAATTACAGGGAGTGCCCAGTTTTTCGCTTGAGGCACAGTGGATGTATTAAGGATAAGGGACATCTTCTATTAGTCTATAGCATATTACAGTATATTTACAAGAGCATATGATGGAGCAGAAAGGCTATTTATACTCTAATTTCACTTATGGGAATTTCCTTCCTTCTCTGCAAATTGGGACATTTTGAAAAGGTAGGAATATGTATTCTCTTGTAAAAGGAAATGTTGTTTTGAAGAACTTGTTCCTAAAATTTTGTATTACCTTAGGTAGCATTTGTATAACTCATAGTTTTCTCTGTAGAAATGTGAAACTTTTTCTTTCTTTTTTTTTTTAGTACTGGGGATCAAACTCGGGTCCTTGCACTTGGGCAGCAGGCAGTGGCACCACTGAGCTAAATCCCTGGCCCTTGAAACTTTTCCTTTGTGTGTGTTGGGGATTGTACTCATAGCCCTGTGCATGCTAAGCACATGATATAACACTGAGCTACGCCTCTAAGTTCTTTAAGCATTTCATATACAAGAAACAAAGTATATAGTACATAAAATAAGAATTTAGAGTGAAAAATAATCTACTTTGGTACCGGAGATCGAACTCGGGTCCTTCCGTTTGAGAGGCAGGTGGCAGCGCCACTGAGCTAAATCCTCGGTGGTAATATACTTTGAAAAAAATATGTTGAGACTTGGTATTAGAGTTTCTCATTTATTCCTTAAACTTAAAGTATTTTTCTTCTACAGGATTCTAAACTGCCTTCCTCAGTTCGCAGTACACTTCTGGAACTGTTTGGTCAAATAGAAAGAGAATTTGAAAACCTTTATATTGAAAACTTAGAATGTGAGTACTCCTATAAATATACTTTTTAAACTTTTCACCTATCCATAGAAATCTTGAGAGTAAAATTTGTCAGTAGACATTCATCACTACCTTAGTTTTCTGTTCAGTTGTAACAAACTTAGTGGCTTAAATTAACACAGATTATTATCTTACAGTTCTATAGGCCTGACTTATTCTCACCAGACTGAAGTCAAGTTATTAGCAGAACTGTTTCCTTTTGGAGGCCGGGGTGGACATTTCCTGCTTGTTTGTACTGTGATAAAATTCATTTCCTTGTTTTGAGAGCAGGCCCACTTGCTGTACTCCTTGGCAGTGGTCCCTCTCTGCCTTGGTGGTGGATACTCTTGATGTCTCTGACCTATTCTTCTGTTGCCCCTCCACCCATAAGGGTACATATGATGATCCCCTAGATAATCCAGGGTAATCTTCCCACTTGCAGAGTATCTTGTGAGGTTACATTTATATGCTGTGGGCATCTTTGAGGGGGCTGTTATTCACCCATTTAACCTACCTATCCAAATAGTGATTGTATAGAAAAAAATGCATTTTATTTTTCCTACCCTTGGTATACCACATGTTGAGAAAACTTTCTTAAAATATATCTATTATCTGATTTATTGAAGGAAAATAAAAAAAATTGAATTAGGTTGGCTTTAGTTTTATTTTAGTAGTTGTGCCTATATATGCTTAAAAACTCAAACAGTATAAAAAGAGACAGTATTTACCATTTACCCTTGATCCCATTATATTCTTCAAAGAAAAACATTTTCTGCATTTTTTCCCTTTAGTTCTTCTGGTGATTCCTGTAAACAAAAATAATCTACTTTCAGTTTTAGACTTACTTTAGGCTCTATACGTTAATGTTTAATGTTAAATGAAATGTTAGGAAACACATTTTTTACTTCTTTCTTGCTCTATTACTTAACAGTTTTTATTTTTATAGGGTTTATAAGATTTACATTTTACAAATTATAGTCATCTTTCCTGCTTTAGATTGATTCCAAAAGTTGTATACAAACAGCGTTTATATTAGTAAGCTATCTTTTTCTAAAAAAAAAACCTCATAACAAGTGTGTTTATAAAGAGAATGTAATTGTGTTATTTAAACTTTGCTTTGTCTTGACAACATTCACATATGACATTTATATGTCTGCAGGTTTTGTAAGTGCTAAATGTACTTAAACAACATATTTTACGTTTTTGAAAAAATTTCTTATATTCTCAGTGCGCAGAGAAATTGATACTCTTAATGAACGCTTAGCAGCTGAAGGACAAGCGATTGATGGGGCAGAACTGAGTAAGGGTCAACTCAAAACGAAAGGTAAGGTGAATGCTTATTAAAGGGTTGTCCTACAGATTATTTCTCAAAGAAAGTTGGAATTTGATGAAGGATACTGACTTGTTTGTTTTTTGCCGAGAGCAAAACTTAACATAATGTAGATGTGGGTCTAGGGGAATAAAGAGCCAAGGAGCTTGGTCCTTGCTTCCCCTCTGCTGTTGTCTCCATGTCACTGTGGGCAAACACTTCTGGGTTTCTCTTTCTGTATAAGACAAAGATCCACGTTTTGATGCTGTAGTTCTTCAGTTGTTTGATTGTCAATTCTCTGTCTCTACAGCTAGTCACAGTACCAGTCAGCTTTCTCAGAAACTAAAGACCACTTACAAGGCTTCCACCAGCAAGGTATGCAGGGCGCTGGCTCTTGAACCAGTCATGTGGTGTTTAAGGTGTGCAGATGTGTACTTTAACTTGCATATTTTCCAGTTAGAGATGTGCAATAGTAAAAGGTAAATGTCTGATTTCTGGGGAAATTCAATTTTTAGAGAGAATATCATATAAGTGGCCACAATATGCAGACGTGTAAACATTAAATTGCTCTAATAATAAGATCAATATAATATGTATGAGTAAACATATTGTTTTTAGAGTAAAAATATGGTTTTTGAGTTGGAAAAGGCTGATAAGTATGAGGAAATAAAAATTATTTTTGGGCTAAATTACATTTTAGTTCATTATCTTTTTAAAAATTTTCTAAATATGATGTGGAAGTAAAGGACTGTCTCAGGGAAATAGAGACATTCGTGGAATTGTGTTTTTTTTCTTCAAGTATCTTGTGCTGATCCTTTTAAAGTGGCAAGGATTTAATTGTTTGGGAAGTTATTATCTATGAGGAAGCAGTATTTTGAAGTAATTTTCTGTGAATCTTTCTACCTTGGAGTATTTCAAGTATGTACAAGATGAATTACCAAAGCTTAGTGGAAAAAAAAAAATATGTATTCCTTTGGCTAAACCCGAGAGAAAGAATTACAGTTTACAGTGAGTCTACTATGAAGGCAGTTATTAACTTTATTTTTCTAATTTGTTCTCTTGAGCTTAAAGTTATTTTGCATCACAGCTACAGCAAGAGAAACTACTACAGGGCAAATTTAGTGTTTTTGCTATTTCTCCTTATTTGAAAGTCTTTAAGTAAATGCTATTTAAAAGAAAATATGAGTATTGCTGACATTTTCTACTGTTTCTTTTGATAACATCAGTAATGTAAGTTGCTTGTTTATCTAATTTATTTTTGGTTATATCTTGCTCACAATTAGTTTAGAAATTTTTAATGTTAACTTCAAACTTTTTTTCAGAATGAAATATGAAATTTAAGTTCTTCCTCATTTAATTTCGTATTTTTTTGAAATATACATATTGCTTATTCTGATGTTTATAGTTACACACACACACACACACACACACACACACACACAAAGCTGGAGGATGCCTTTGTGCGCGCACACAATGTTTGGTCTTAGAATTCCAGAACTCTAAATATTTCTGAAGTAGAGGAATAAAGATATAGAGTTATCCTTTACCACGATCCTTGCTGCATAAAGTTAAAGATATGTACAACAATACTTTGCCTTTAAAAGATATATTTGCTTTAAAAAAATATAGTAGCAAAGACTCAGTCATTTTAGGACTACCAACTCGTTTGAATTTATTAGAAATTTAGAAACATTTTGTGCACTGTATGTATTCATCTTAAACAAGTATTGAACAGATGATACATTTGAAAATTGAGGACATAATTTGGTAACAGATTATATTCTGATTTGTACTACAGCATGGATTCTGTATTAAAACTAAGCATGAATGCAACAAGAAAAATGCTACAGTATAGATTCATTACTTTCCCTCCTTCTGACTCAGAGTGAAAGGCAAGTAGCATGTTTGGTGAGATAGTGGGATCACAGAAGTATATTGACTAAGCATATATTTTCCCCCTTCCTAGTTGCCGAATGACATTTTTCTGATGTTTTGTTGGGAGGGAGGTAAGGCAGCCTAACCTGCAAACAACCTTAGAGGAGGTTGTGAAAATGTTTGCAGATATTTTTATAAAATATTTTTTCATTGTGAAAAAAGCCATTTCTGATTTTTAAAAAAAGCTTTAGATTGTATCTCAGTTGAAATGATTCAGGGTGACAGGTGTAAGCATCATTTAGTTACTTCATCCTGCTGCTTTTCTGTCCGAGTGTGTTCCTTCTAAATGACATTGTCAAGTCTCTTTGTAATTGTGACCAAGTCAGTGTTTTTAGGAAAAAAGTTAGTTAATAAATGATGCTCAAAGTGTAATGAACATTTTAAAGAACATATGTGAATATATGTTAACAATAATCATAAACAGCGTATTATCATCTTCCAAAATAACACCCGAACCATAGCTGAATGCTCTTTCAGTAACCTTTCTTCTTTTACCTTGTGAATAGGGTTGGTGAAAAGTATGGCTCTGGTAGTTTGTTATAATAGTAATGTTCATATTAGAAATGGTGAGCCACTTGGAAAATGAAATTTAGTATAACTTATTATAGGGGAAGTTTTAAGTAGTTTTTATTTTCACTCTTTTCTAAACTGTTTAATATTGTTTGACATCAGAGTGGCAATATTTGTAAGCAAAAGTACTTTCTCATTTTGTGAAGCAATAATTTTGCTGGGTTGAATAGGCTGAATAATTTTCATAAAGAAAAAAGATAATGATGAGTTTGAGGCTGAATAATTTCTTTTATGTTTTCTGTTAAATTGAAACCACATCAAATAGAATCTGTTTATATTACTGGTAAAAATATTGGTTTCCATCACCATTTGTTTTAGTCTTTCACTGTATGAGGGACATAATTTGAATGGTCATACCCAAATTAATGTAACTGGATTGTGCTTTAATGCATTTATATAAGAATGAATTTAGATATCCCCCCAGGGCTTTGCTAATTCATTGTTTAAAATAAGTTGTATGATCCCTCTAATTTTTGTTTTTAACTTGGTTTTATGGTTTCCTTCTTTCAAATCATTTACATTATTGTGATTTACTAAAAGCTGACTTTTAAAAAACATTCCAGAACAATCAAAAACTAAACTCTGAAGAAATCTTTGGGCTTAATTAGTTTCTTACTCATTCACTTTGTATTATTCCTTGTAAGAGAAAATGAGAATTGTCTGTTGTGTGTCATTTATATGAGACAGTACCTATGTTTATACTGCATTGTCTGTATTGTTTTTATGTCTGTCTCCCATTGGACTATGAGCTTTTGAAAGGCAAGGAGCCCATGTGTCATTTAGCTTTGTCTCCTCCATCTAATACAGTGGCTGGCTTCGAGCATGTGCTCAATAAACAATCTTGAACAAACCTGCTCATTCGTTATAAGTGTCATCTTTTGATTCCTCCCCCAGCCTGGCCCTTTTTTTCCTGCTAATATGTTATTAGTGTAAATTATAAAAAAAGGGAAAAAAGTGAAAGTTCTTCATTCAGTGCAGTTCAATAATTAGTGTTAATGCTTTGGGATATCCTGATTTTTATGTCTGGTGGGATGGCTAGCTTTTTTTTTTTTTGCCTTTCTTAAAGAATTTGGAAATTTTTCCTGATGATTTGAATTTGTGGAAGAATGACTTGAAATGCCTGCCTTTGCCCTTCTTCTGTAGCAAGACGTTACTTGTCAAACTGTGGAGTGGAGGAAGTCTTCTGCAGCCTCTGGAAGGACTTGTTTCTCTATGACATCAAGCTGAATGAGCCTAGTGTTACCACACAGTGTGATTCAGTTTTGTTTATGGTGGTGTTGTGTTCCTTTAGTGTTTACAATATTTTATTGAGTGACTTTTCTTTTTTACCTTTTTTAGAACAATTCATTTTAGTAAATATTTAAATGTACCCCTTCCCGTGTTGATTGTAGATTGTGTCTAGCTTTAAGACCACCACATCGCGGGCCGTCTGCCAGCTTGTGAAGGAGTACATTGGCCACAGAGATGGCATCTGGGACGTTAGTGTTGCAAGGACACAGCCTGTGTTGCTTGGGACTGCATCTGCTGGTGAGTTGGACACTGGTCTGGGTGTCTTATTGAAGTGTGACTTTGCTGATAACTTACCAAATCGTCTGACTAGGGGTCAGTAGGACAAGTGGTTCCTGGAAGCAGCAGTGTGATGGAGGAGTCAGTAAGATTATAGCATTTGCCTTGATGTGGGAGCACTCAGTTTTACCCAGGCCTAGGGTCTGCTGGGTGAGAATGTCACAGGCGCAGTGGATTCCTGTGTTTCTGAGGAAGGAAATACTTCAGTTTAATTTAATTGTGGGAGATGATCATGTGTGACTAGGTGGCAGCAGTGAGGGAGAGAGACTGATTAGTGCATCAGTAGAAAGTAGGTACACTGAGGCAAGGCCAATAAAACCAGATTCAGGAAGGCAAAGGAAAGGAGAAGGACTAAAATGCAGTACCTGGAAGGTTTAGAAAGGGAAGCTTGACTGCTTCTGAATTGGGCATTCCTTGCACCCTGGGTCTGGCATACATGTCAGCTTAGGAAAGGGTCAGTCTTTTCTGAGAAATGGAATTAGCATTGCAGTAGCGGCCTGGCCAGTGGAGTAGGCTCCCAGTCCCTCTACATTTTCTCTGGGTAGAAGAGCAGAGGAAGGGAGATACTTTAAATCAGGGCAGAAAAACTGACAGCCAGACACAGTGGATATGAGTGAATCCTTGGAAATTTGAACATAATTGTGCCACTCTAGTTAAGTGACCTGAATCTGAGAGCTGAGGAAACTGCAGCCCAGGAATGTGCAAGCGAGCGGTGTTTAGGAGCAGTGGGACCATTGGGGAAAGAAGCAGCCAGATCAACCCAGAAATAATTACTTGCCCATTTCATCCTCATATATCCCGGAGTGCTGTGATTACAGGATATTCTGTGTGTTGTTCGTGCCTGCCAGCAGATACCCACAAGGGAGCAGTCAGCAGCCCCTGTTCAGGACTGTTAAAAGCAGGGAGCCCTGGGGCTGCATCAAGTTTGTTAGAGAGTAAAACTTTGGGGAGAATGACTGAAAAAAAGACTATGGATGGAGAGACAGTGTGGCCTGGGTAATAAGGCGTCTGGGGATGCACTAGGTAGAAGGCTTGTGGAGGGAAAACATAGGTGTATGCAGCCAAGGAGTCAGGAGTGAGAAGACAATGGCAGACGCTGATGGAGAGTTGGGTTCTGGGCCAATCACACCACACCCTTCCCTCCTCAAATTAATTGAGGTGATTGGTTCTTGGGACAGAGTCAAAAGCATGGTTAGCCATGGTCAGAGCTTGGAGCCAGGAAGTGGGCCCAGAGAGCCGTCAGGATCCACAAGCCTCTTTGCTCAGAGGGACGTAGTTAAACAAACCACAACAGAACGGGAGGAGCAACCTGGAGATCTGCAGTTGAACTCAGACTGCAGACTCTGGTTTTGTGCTTTTGTGGCTGAGAGTTTTTGTTTCTTTATTTTTTAACTTAAGTTTTTCTCTTCTTTATATTTTTACCCCCCCTTTTACCTTTCTCTTCCATTCTTTCCTACCTCCTTATCTTCTCTCCCTTTGTTTCTTCCTATTAAGCAGTGCATTAAGTGATGCCTTTTATGGCCATGTCAGAGTCAACAAAATTATGCATAGAGAATCTAAACATAAACTACCAACAAATTAACAGGGTACAGCAGTCTCACAGTTTCTTTCAGTCTATTTACATGTCTCTCCCTCTGTGTCCGTCTAGCTCCCACAAATATTTTCCAAACTCCCTCAACATTATTTCCAACTGAACCTGATCTCCTGTTTTTCACCTCTTTATAGTTCTCTTTTTTTTTCTTTTCCCCTCCCTCCATATCCCAGTCTAGTAGCAGAATAATATAGTGTGTAAGAGGCATTAGTAAAAGGATGAAATTGTCAGACAAGTTTTTGTTTATGTGGTTGGATCTGTTGATGTTATTATAACCAGTAGGGATTCTCTCCTTGCAAAACAGTGACTGGGTTTAATCCTATTAAGCTGAGTAGGGAGTTGAGGTAGCTAAATATCAAAATGCAGACAAAGCAAGAACACATCATTGGAAAGCAGACACTAAAGACAACATACTATTAACAAAGTCTTTCCGCTCTAACTGATCCTCAACTCTCAGCAGAACCCAAAACATACACACAAAACCCATAAGAAAACAAGGTAACAAAATGTCTTAAAAAACTCCCAGTACCCCCAGAACAAATCCAAGGAGCATTTTTGAGAATGAAATTAAAAATCAAAATGGCTGAATTATATGAAATGATAAGAGAAGAAATAAACTTGATGAGCCCAAAGAAATAATTAAGAAGATCATGGACATAATAAGCAAAAATGGCCAGTGAATTTAAAAGACACACAAATATGTGAAAAGCTTGTGGAGCTAATCAAAATAATTCAAAACATGAATGACCAATTTTTTAAAGTACTAGTGTTTATGAAAAGCCATCAAATAGAAATTCAGGAGATAAATTCTATTGAAAGTATGGACAGCAGAAGTGACTAGCATGAGGGTAGAGTATGGGACCTAGAAGATAGGTTAATGGGCATGACTGTGCACTCAGAGATACCTCAAAAACAATTAGAGAATAGGGGAAGTGGATACTGCTGCTGCTAGGTGATACCAAGAAGACTAACCTAAGATTAATTGGAGTTAGAAAAAAAGTCCAAGCCCTCGGGAGGCTGAGGCAGGAGGATTGCTGTGAGTTCAAGACCAGCCTGGGCTACATAGTGAGTTCCAGGTCAGTCTCAACTACATAGTGAGACCCTGTCTCAAAAAAACAAAAAAAAAAAGTCAAGACATATTAAAAAATATGTTGCAGAAAACTTTCCAAGTATGGGGAAGGAATTTAGTGTACAGAAAAGTAAAGCATACAGTTCCCCAAAGTGCCATGATCAGAAAAGAAGTCCTCCATGGCACACCCTAGTCAAAGTTGCAGAAGTTTAACACGAGGACAGAATCTTAAAAGCTGTTACAGAAAACCAACAAATCACTTAACAAAGGTAAACCCACTACATGGCCTCAGACAAGTTACAACCTCTCCAATCTTTGTGGAAATGTTTTTCTTAGAGCAGTTAAACTTTAGATTAGTAGAATCAAGTTATAAATATTTGCAGTAGCATAACTTCTCATTTTTAAATATCTGTCGTATTCCCTATTTTATTAAAAGGACTATAAATTTGTTGATGGCTAAATTAATGATTTTTCTGTTTTGGTCTTGCAGATCACACAGCTCTGCTGTGGAGCATAGAGACAGGAAAGTGCCTTGTCAAATACTCGGGCCACGTGGGTTCAGGTAAGCATTTACTTCGATGAGTGCTGTAGTCAGAAGTGTTCACTATATTGATAATTTAAAAATTTTCCGTGACTGAAATCAACTATATCAATAGAAAATTATATATTTGATAGAAAGTTTTGTTGTAAGTGGACAGTGTGGTTTTTTGGAGACTAGGATGAACACTGCCTTCAGCTTGTATGAATTTAAAAAAGGAAAAAAGCTTAGTGTTTTAACAGTGCACAAATAATGTTAGCTATGTTTTATTTAATATTGTATATAAACCAATTGTAGGAAATTTTATAAGTGTAACTATGTATTACTCATTACAAAATATGTATCTGTTTTAGAAGTTTATTTTTATGGTAATGGCAGTTTGGTTATGTTCAGGATAAATAAAGGATAATCGGTATTATTGTGCTTCTTTTGTCTGTAATCTGTGCTCTCCGTAGTAGCTCTTTTCCGCCTCTTCACTTATACCTGTGTATGTGCCAGTGTCTTGACCAGATTTCATGCCTCACTTTTGTTCTATGAGACCTTTCTACCTGGAATACTCTTATGCCCAGGCTGTATCTGTCAGAGGTTGCCTGCCCTCTGCCAATTGCTGCTGCACCCTTAACCTTTGCAGACCGACTCAGTGTTAGCATTGCCTTGAGGTTCTTTGGAGTTACACATTTGGGTGATTCCTTCATCTCAGCACCTTTCTGTTCATCTTAGTGGTCAAGGCTAGAGCTCTGGGTAAGCTGCAGACTCTTCACTCTTCCCTTTCTTAGGATCCTGTCTTTCAGGTATTCTTGTTATATTCTGTCTTATTCTTGCCATGGGCTTTTCTTGTTAGAGTATGAATAAGTTCATACATTTCTCATACTACTTATTTAATACTACTTATTTATATATCTTCACTGTTGACTTAACATATCTTCTTTTCCCCCTTATATCCCACACACTTGAGCCTTGGGACTGTTATCTTGCCTACAGTTTTCTAACATAATGCCTGAAGTAAATAAACAAATAAATAAAAAATAAGTGCTCAAAAATATAGCATAACTTTGTTAAAAGTATAAGTATTCTGTGTCTGCATCATCTAAGATTTCTTAAATTTATTTTTAGCATATGTTGCTTTAATTTATCACTTTAAAGGTGTCCACAATCATTAGCTTTTCTTAGTTACTTATACTTTAATGTTTATAGTAAAAGAGCATCTTCTATATTTTTCTTTTTAGTTTCTTAGAAAAATAAAATTCTAATGGTGTAGCCAGCACATTGATGTTAAAATAAATTACTGAAGTTTGGTAAAATTTATGCTGTGTTTTATGTAAGGGACATGTGTGTTTTTCACAAGATGTGGAAATGGGAGTTGAGCCTCCCCAGAGTGACTTCAGTTTAGCTCTGTGTCAAACTGGCTGACAGTGATTTTAATTCATTCTAAGAGCTGGGGTTTACTTGAGGAAAATCCCAGGTGGGTATGCGGGCTCAGGATCAGTGCAGTATCTGAGCAGACTTGTTGAGATGAACTCCAGCCTCAGTGTGCTGGTTTATGTGCTTGTGTTTGCTGTTCTATTGGTCACCCATTGAGATATCTCATTTATATTCAAAGAACGAAAAGGTGAGGTGTTGGGACTCTATTCTGGTGTACCTCCTTTATTAGGAAAACGAGTGTTTCCAACCCAGTATGTTGGTACACTCCTGTAATCCCAGCGCTTGGAAGGCTGAGGCAGAAGGATTGCCAGTGCCTAGGCTACATAGTGAGTTCAAGGCCAGCCTGAACTACAGAAGGAGACCGTGTCTTAAAAAACAAACAAAACAAACAAACAGAAGTTTCATCTGAACTTCATTATACCTTTACCTTTTTGTCTCAATGGAGCATCTGGATAAAGGAGAATGGGAGGATATCACAACTGGGTTTAAACTAATCTCAATTTGTTTGCCCAGGCTGTAGAAATTCGCTCATGGGGTCTCCTCTTATTGTGGGATAGGTTGGGGTTCTGTAAGGTGGGAAGGCCAGCAGGGTGAGGTTAAAGGTCACGCAGTAAGTGGGGTCTGTACACTATAACACTATAATTTGCCCTTGCTAGTTGTCACAGTTATTGTTTTCTTTTTTCATCTTCATTGTTTTTAGCTCTAAATAACTTCCCTATTAAAAGAAATAGACTATTATTGTTCTTCTATGAGTCCTATAAGAGTAATTTCATAATTCATACTTTTTTATTGTAGCTCTATTCTAACTTATTTGTTCAGAGTTGAATTGAATCAGAGGATCTAATATTGAATTTTCATAGTTCCTTTAATTTTTTATCTTACTTTGCATTATGTGCTGTAGCTAATATTTATAACGTGTTCTTATTGTGTTAAACCTGTTTATAATCTTTTTATTTTGCAGTAAATTCTATAAAATTTCATCCCTCAGAGCAGTTGGCTCTCACTGGTATGTTGTTTTATCTTTATTGAACAAATTATTATTAATCTTAAAATAACTAGAAATATTTATTGGTGGCATCAGAATTATCCATGGCTTTTATGAAATTTGGGCATTTTATGAGTTAAATGAGAAGTGAATAGGGCTGGGGAGGGAGCTCAGTGGTGCTGTGCCTGCCTGCCTGGCAAGCATAGGTTCAATCCCTGGTACTGGAAAAAAAGAAAAAAAAATGAATAAAGAAAAATACACAGAGTAATGCTTTTTAATATTAATAGTGGATCACCAATTAGAATGACTTGAATTTATTGTGGTATTAAAATAAGCTCATATTCTTCTTGAAATCTTTTTTTTGTAAAGAATTTTATTATTGGGCCGAGGATTTAGCTCAATGGTTCCACTGCCTGCCTCGCAAGCGGGAGGACCCGAGTTTGATCCCCAGTACCCCCCCAAAATTTATTGCCTATGACATGATTCTTTGAAGCACCATTACTCTGTTTCCTAATTTTATATTCATCTAAAATAAAGAAATGAGAGAAATAATGCTGAGAAAGAGCAGTTTTTTTCAGTCGGCATTTTCATTTCTTTCTATTTTAGAATATGTGCTGCTGAAGCGAGCTCTTCATTTCTTTCTAGATAATTTACCTACTCTGTAGTAAATGTACATTTGGCATATTCTATATTGTGGTTTTAAAAGCACCTTCAGTTGTTCCTTTTGGAGGGTAGCCTTAACGTAGTGAGAACATTTTCTATAAAACTGTTAAATGCCTACAGAGCCCTGTGATATTTTGGGGTAACTGGTAATTACTTTGAAGAGTATATACATAGGCTTGATAGATCAGAGATCAACACGCTTTCTGTGAAGGATCAAGTAGTAAGTATTTTAGCTTTGTGACAATGAAGGTCTCTGTCACAACTGTTTAGTTCTGCTGTTGAGTGTGAAAGGAACAGAGTACACAGATGACTAGATACAGCTCTTTATTTACAGAAAATGGGTGGCTGCCTGGATTGGGCCCATCAGATTTTACTGATCCCAGAATGAGCGTTGAGATAACCATGTGCTTCATGCACATGGAATTGTTTAGGCAGGGAGCTCAAGTATGAGTGCATTTGCTATGTGAGATGCAGTAAGTTACTCAGTTTTGTAAGATAATTTTTATATGTGAGAATTATGTGGTGGGAAGTTAATCTGAAAGTCATTTTCACAGGCCTAGACCATAATAGCTAATTTATACCTTAGTAAATATTTGAGGAGTAAAGTTGGAATTTAAGCCTTATTATATTGATTGGAAACAGGAGAGAAGCAAGGAGACCAGTGGCAGTTGGGTCTTTGTAGACATAAAGCAAAGGCTAGAAAGGAGGGATGAAACCAAGAAACATTTCAAGAAGGAACCGATAGAAACTTTGAAACAAGTAAAGTAATGGGGTTGGTTATAGAGAGAGGAGAGTTAAACTGTGATTTCTATGTAATGTTGATTTGAAGAGAAATTGGCAAGTCAGGGCAATAAATTGATTTCTGCATTAAAAGGACATATACTGCCATCAACACTTAGTGTCTTCTTTAGAGGTGCTCTGCAGCAGTGAAGAGAAGACAGAAGCTAGATTTGTTTTCTGTGAGGGGTGAGACTTGATTATTTTGGTATACTGAGGGACATTTCTGTACTCCGTAGTGATAGCCTTTGTCTTTTCATTCCTAAGTCAAAGCATTTCCTTACAAGCTTTAGTTGGTGCAGAGAGGAGCAGGAAAGTGGCACAAATAGTAAAAATCTATGCCTGACAAATTATAAAGTCCTACCAATGAGTGGATGGAAATTTCCTGAAATGTCTCCCAATCTATTACAGTGACAAGTTACAGGATAACTGAATTTCTCTTGGGTAGATAAAAAATAAAATCTCCTACTTATAAATTTTTTTCTGAATCTCTGCACTTTTCTACCCCAAATGAAAGGGGAAACACCTTTATCAGTAATTATAATCCTAAATTTGCACATTTACCCTGTTCTTAATAGCATTCTGTAGTCTCTGAAATTGCTAAAGTACATTCATTTTACTAAATGATCACTGTTAGAAAAATATCTAATCTGATGATGTTTAGTAGGGCGTAGCAAAGAGCACATTTTTTGCATCGTGTGTACATTGGGTAATTTTCCCCCAATTTCTCTCTTCAGCCTCTGGAGATCAGACTGCTCATATTTGGAGATATGTGGTACAGCTGCCGACACCCCAGCCTGTTGCCGACACTAGTGTAAGCACATTTACTTTCCCTGAAAACTCAACATGGGCCTACCAATGTAGGATTCTGAGCATTTGCCAATTTTAGAATAAATTTGTAGTGTCTACTTTGCACTGAATGTGCCCCCTCCTTCTGTCCCCAAATTCATATATTGATGCCCTAATCTCCAGTGTGACTGTATTTGAAGATGGGGCCTCCAGGAAGTAATTAAGGTTAAATGAGGTCATAAGCATGTAGCCTAATCTGAGGACATTGGTGACCTTGTAGGAAGGGACATCAGACATTGTGGGTAAGTGCATGTTCCCTGTCCCTCACTGTCGCTCATTCTTTCTCCCCCCAGTCTTATGAGGACAGAGTGAGAGGGATGCTGTCTGCCAGCCAGGAAGAAAGCCCTCACCAGAACAAAATTGTCAGGAATCTCGATCCTAGACTTCTGACCTTTAGGATTATTAGAAAATTAATTTTTGTTGTTCATGAGTTACACAGTCTGTGGTAATTTGTTATAGCAGCTGGAGCTGATTAAGATAGATTTTGGTACCAGAGGTGGGATGCTGACGTAAGACATACCTAAAAATGTTTACTTAAATGGCTTGGAGGCATTTGAGATACTTGCTAAAATAAATACAGATTGCCATGAGCGGATTATTAACAGAAACATAGATGTTAAAGATTATTCTGGTGATGGCTGAAGAAGAAAGGAGTGTTGGAAAGGAAGCTCCTATTTTTTAGAGGTATACAATTATGATCATGAATAAGAATGGTGCAAATATATACATCAAAGGCCATTCTGGTGCAGTCTCATCAGAAGGAAATGAGAAAGAGGTTATTGGAAATTCGAGAAATAGTCATCCTTGTTACAAAGTACTAAAGAACTTGGCTGAACTGTGTCCTAGTGTTTTGTGGAAGGTAGAATTTCTAATTTCATGATAAACTCAAGATATTTGGCTGAGATTTCTGAGGAAAGTGTTAAGGCTGTGGCCTGGTTTCTCTTGACTGTTTAGAGTAAAATATGAGAGAGAAATTGAAGGAATTGTTCAGCAAAAGGGAACTGGAGCTTGAAGATTTGGAAAATTCTATGTATTGTAGAAAGTAGAAAGCTTATTCTGAAGAGAACACTTAAAAGTGTGACTGAACATTCATTTGATAAGGAGGTCAGTTAGTTTAAGTGTGAACTTCAAATCACCTACTGCAGCAGTAGTTAGGAACAGAGAAGTAATTATTCTAGTGAAGACACTGCCAGGTGGGAGTAAAGGAACCAGAGAATACAGAATAAAATAAAGACTGTAGATTCTACAAGCACCAGAAAATAGTTGTGTGGCTCTGAACACATATCATCGATGACTTGGAGATTGACAGGGCTGTTACTCCACTGTAGACCCAGGGAACAAGATTGGTTCCTCCTCAGTTTCAGTGGTGCCTATTTGATGTCTGGGGGCCAGGATACCTTTGCCCAATGCCCATATCAGTGGGGATGCCCAGCTGAACCGTGGGGTAATGATGCCATCTTGGCAGTTTGGAGGTCAGAATGTTGAGCCAAAGAGCCTTAAGATCTAACAGAATTTGCCTTGTTAGGTTTTGGACTTGCTTGGGGCTTCTTTTTTTCCCTTCCTTCTTTACTATTTCTCCTTTTTGGAATGGGGTCTTTTAGCTGTATTTTGGAAAAAATAAAATTCAGTTTTGGTAGGTCACAGCTAGAAAATAATTTTGCCTTATAATGAATTGTACCTCTAGTCTCACTCATACCCAATTTAGATGACATTTTGGTAAGACTCTGGTCTTTAGACTTAGTGTTAATGCTGGAATGAGTTAAGATTTTAGGGGCTTTTGGGCTGGAATGAGTGTATGCCATATAAGGTCATGAAATTTGGAGGACCAGGGCAGAATGTTACAGATTAAATGTGTCTCTCCAGAATTCTTGTTTTAGCTCTGATCCAAAATGTGGTTGTATTTGGACATAGGGACTTTAAAGAAGTAGTTAAGGTTAAGTGAGTTCATAAGATTGGGATACTCAACTGATAAATGTCCTTAGACACTGATAGTGTCCTTAGAAGAGACACTAGCTAGCTCACTTTCTCTGTCCTATCATTTGAGGACACAGAGAAGAGAAAAGGTGACTGTCTGCCAGCCAGGACAAGAGTTCTTACTGATAGCCAGTTGGTTGGTACCTTTATCATGGACTTCTGCTTTCCATAACTGTTTCAGAAAATAAATTTGTGTTGAAGCCATTTAGTAGTGTTTTGTTACGGCAGCTGGAGCTATGACAAGATCTTAAAAGAAGTATTTTTATTTATATAGGCATCTTTTTGCTTTAGCCTTTGTAACATTCATCTCTTTAAATGTTATGTTTTGCCAGGCATGGTGGTGCCTGTAACCTCGGTACTTGGGAGGATGAGGCAGGAGGGTCACTGTGAGTTTGAGGCCAGCCTGGGTACATAGTGAGTTCAAGGCAGCCCGAGCTACATAGTGAGACCCTGTCTCAAACCCCCCCCCAAAATTTTTTTTTTAAATGTTCAGATTATATTTCTTAATGTTTCATGTATATATTGTTAGACACTTTTTTTTTTACTTTTGATAGATTTTTATTACTGCCTAAGTTGATGGCTTGTAAGGAGGCATTAACATTTTTATGTGAGTAAAATTTTGACATAGTTAACCAAAGATGTTGCATATTGAGAAGAATGAATTACTGTGCAAGAGATCCTTGAATTACTGTTTGCTTTGTGCTGTTTGATAGGTAACTTCAGCATAAGTCCCTAGATACATGATCAAGCAGAGGCTTTAATTTTCCTTTGAATGATGAGTATCTTCAACTAGTTTCTTTTAGTGTAAATCTTAAGAGTATTGTCGTCACAGTTGTTTACCCCTTTCCTGTGTTGTGTAAGACAGAGGAAATGGTGACAGCGAATGGTTACATGGAGTCAAATACAGATCTGTAAAGTTTCAGTTTGTGTTGGGCTGTGATTGTGAGGATGACAGTAATCTAGTTTTGATATTTCTAGCTTTGAATATTAGTTTTCTGCTTTACAAACATTCTAAACATTTTTCTGTTTGGATATATGTTAAGCATTTAATTCCAGTGATGTTAAATGAGTTTTATTTAATTGAGTGGTCTTGCCTGTTCATTTTGTGTTAGCGTGCAGTAGTCCCTGTTTATGCACAGTTTTGCTTTTTTTTAAAGTTTCACTTACCTCAAGTGTGGTCTGAAAATATTAACTGCAAAATTCCATAAATAAATAATTTGTAAGTTCTAAATATACTTTTAGCAAAATATTATTACTATTCTGTTTTGTTGTTGTTGTTGTTAGTCAGTTACTATGCCTAATGTATACATGGGTACCTATGACATTTGTCATAGGTATGTATGTTCTGTATAGGAATTAGTAGTATATACCTGTATAGGCTTCAGTACTATCTGGTTTCATACATCTGCAGAACTTGGAGTATACCCCCATATATAAGGAAGGACTATTATGTATCTTAACACATTTTCTCCCTTGTAAAATTACCAAACATTTCATTATATGGCATACTTAACTTGTATATTCATTTAAGAAACAGGCAAAATGAGCACTGAAGGCAAAGAAATGAAGGTGAAGATCAATGTTCAGAAAGTTTAAAAAATAACATCATTTGGCTTTTTTCAAATGAAATAGTTTTAAAAGCACCAATTTCATCAGAGGGAAGGTTTTTGAATAGTATGTAAATTGAAAAACTTAATTTACTTTTAATATGTTATTTATTACTTTGCTGGCATTCTGTACATAAACTCTTCTTGCTGGATAATTGCTCTCTGGATTTGGGACTAATGTAGGATGGGCTGAGTTTGAATTAAAACTCAACTTGTATTGCCCACTACAGCTTGATCAGTAACTTGAACTGCTTTAGAGGCACTGCTGAGGATGGATTCTGAATGCATAATTCTTTGGTTGAAAGCAACTTTTTTTCTTAAACTTTGTGCTTATCGGTCTTCACTCAGATTTGCTTAGTAGTTCTATCCTTTTTCAGTAACGTCTAATCTGTTAAAGTTTGTGTTTATTCTGAATCAGTACAGCTTTCTTACAGATGTTTTCATGAGTGAGTTTTACTTGACCCACAGTGTTAATAGATATTTGGATGATGTAGTGTAAACATTTAGATTATCAATGAAATAACTATGTCACACACTAGTTATGTGACACTGAGTCATTAATTTAACTAGGAGGGTTGATTTTTTTTTTTTTTCCATTTGAAAGTAAAAATGCAACAGTGTTATCTCAGAGGTTTCTAATGGCCCTTGAATGTTGTTTCACTTTTTAAAACATGGATCCTGCCAACCGGGTGCTCCAGGATCCTTTCTGAGCCCCTGTATTGTGTAGCCACCATGTGTGGTCCTTCCCAGGGATTCTTTCATGTGCTACTCATTAATCATTACCTCAGCTGAATACATGGTCTTACTCTCAACCCTCCTCAGATGTTTCCTGTGTAAGGAAGTAGCTCCTTTGTATTCTTAGTCATTTATTTCCTTCCATAAAAAAAGTATCTAGTGAATAGCCCTTTGAGCTCATTGTTACAGGTCAGGGGTCCAGAAGTTCACAAAACTGTCAGAAAGTTTGCATTTTCTTTGACATACCACTTTCTTTTATCCTCCCCAACCACCATTTCCAAACAATCCACGAAATCTTAATTGATTTCAATTCTTTTTTTCTTTTTTTCCTGTCTTTTCAAGATGGCTGGAGATCTTAAGTTGCCTAGGCTGGCCTTAAACTTATGATCCCCCTGCCTCATGCTCCTTGCTAGCTAGGAGTACAGGAATGCACCACTGTGCCCAGCTTTGATTCCAGTTCTTGAATCTCCTTTTCTCTATACTGAGATACTTCTTCTGCAGTGTGTAACAGAGGTTTCCTCCGAGCACCATGTGGACCAACCTGTTTTAGAGATCACATCCATATTCCTGTCTGCTGGAACCCTTGCAGCTGTTCACACACTTGTCCACAGAGGCACCTGCCTACTAGCTGTCCAGAGCTGTGCTCTTCCTCTGCATCCAGGGGTAGCACAGGGGCAGGTGACGAGGGCTCTTTATAGTGGCTGCAGTTGGTGAGAAGCTGTATGGCGCAGGACCCAGTTCTTTCTGAAACACTCCATGGGCACAGCCAGGGATAACTTCTAACAGGTGCCAAGCTGCATCAGTCAGACCAGGAATTTATGGTAACTGAATTCCTCTTTGCCTAGTTGCAGTTTATCCACTAGGAGTCATTTTGCCTTGAGTGGAAGGAACGAGGAATAAAGTTTCTGTGGAAAGGGTTTTGTTGACCCTTTACTGTTTTGCAGATTTATGAGCGTGCAGCTTCTCTAGCCAGGTCATGGCAGTTTTGTCTTAACTAGTCTTCCTCCCTCCGGTATTGGGAGCTATGAGCCTTTTTTAGTATTTTTCATCACTGTCCTACTTAACTACTCTTCTACCCTATACTTACCTCTTTCTCTTCCTTTCTTGAGCTGTTTCCTCACCTACTCCAACATCCTCATCCTTAATGTCACTAAGATCTAACTTCCTTAGAGAGTTAGTTTCTGCTTACGTACTGTCAAGTCATCCTGTACTTTTTCTCTGGTATTATAGCTGGTATTATAGTCTGAAATGGTTAGTTTATTGTATAAGCATTTGTGTTGGTCTGGCTCACTAGATTGTGGATCCTTGGTCCCTGAAGAAATCCTAATTTTGGTTAAATCCACTTTTCCTCTCTCCTGCATTCAACTTTAGGCTGAATTTGTGGCCTCTCATGTCAGTCAGGCCCTGTGCTGTGACACTCCCATTGCACTTTCCATTCCTTCCTTCCTCCCAGCTTCTGCTTCTTAGTTCTTTGAGAAGATGGAATCAGTTAGAGAGAACTCTGCACCTTCCTCTCCCAGCTATGTCTTCATGACACCAGCTGTCCTCTTATACTCCTTGGGGTGCGACCTTGCCTCCATCGTTGAAGTGCTATTCCCACTTCTCCTGTGGATGTTGCTCATGCGGTGATTCCTTCTGTCCTCTGTCATTAGAGTGTTCTTTTAGGTCCTTCCCACATCAGTCCCACGGCTCATCCAGAACTAGCACCTCATTGGTTTTCTCACCCTCACCTCAGAAGTGTTACCTGCAGTCCTCTCTCTCCCACTATTCTCAGGCCTCCTTTGCGTCCCTGTTGTTCTCCGGGGCCTCCATCATGGTCCCCATCCCCTCCATGTTGCTCACCCAATGAACATTTTTGTTTCCTTTAAAAATTTTTTAAAAAATTTATTTTGACACAGGGTTTCACTAATTTCCTCAGGTAGGACTCCAACTCGTGATCCTTGTGCTTCAGCTTGTCTCAGTCCTGGGGTTGCAGGCATGTGCCATTGCACCCGGCAGATACAGTAGTTTGCTTTTTGGGTTTTGTCATTGCATTTCTTAACTGTGGCTCTCCTTCCAGCACATACCTTGTTTCTCCTGTCTTCTTCATTCTTCTTGAGTCTTGGTACAGTATCGCTTCTCTGATGCTCCACAACTCACTGGTGTAGGAGTCTCTCTTGACACTCCATTGCTTATCTGTTCTGCACTAGTTCCCAGCTGATCTCAGCACCTGTGGATTTGAGAACCATCTGCTGCTGCTGGCTCCCAGGTTTGCATTCTGTCTGTGACTCCTTTTAAATCCACGTTTCTGTGGTCATCTAACTACTCACTCCATCTCTGACTGGGTGTCCTGTCGAAATTGCAGACCTGCTGTATCTGAAGTTGAGTTCTGGGTGTCTCCCAAACTTGCTCCTTTTGTTGTGCTGCACACTTCACAAAATGTCACCATCATTTGCTTAGTGCTTTGGACTCTTGTATCTTTTTCATATTCCGTGTGATATCAACTTATGTGCAAATCCTGAAGCTTTACCCAGAGGGTGTTTTAATAAGCTCTTCTTGTATCTCCAGCACCACCATGCTAGTCCAGGCCACCTTCTTTAATCGTTCACTTTCTCTCTGTTGTTTACCTGGGATGCTATGACCAAAAAGTACAGCTGGACAGCTTCAGTGACAAATCTGTGTTATCACAGTCCTAGAAGCTAAAAGTTCCAGATGAAGGTATCAGCAGGATTGCTTTCCTCAGAGGCTGCTATCTGTGGCTTGCAGATGATCACCTTTTCACCATGTCCTCACATGGTCCTGCCTTTTCATGTCCCAGTTTCCTCTTATAAGATAACGGTTGTAGCTGGGTGCAGTAGCACACTCCTAGTAATCCTTGGTGAGGCTGAGACAGGATGGCAAATTCAAGTCCTACCTGGATAATTTAGTGAGACTTTGTCTCAAAAAACTAAAAAGAGCTGGGGATATAACTCAGTGTTAAGGCCTTTGGCTCATTCCCCACTACTGGAAAAAGGGGCGGAGCAGGGCACACCGCTTATATTGGATTAGAGTCTATTCTGATGACCTCTTTTTAATTTAAGTACCCCCCTAAAGGCTCTGTTTCCAAGTACATTCTGAAGTCCTGTGGTTAAAGCCTCCATACATGAGTTTGCAGGAGACATAGTTTAGCTTGTATTTATTTTTCCCTTTGTTCATGCAGCATAAATGAGGTTATATCACAGCTGTACTTAATTGTCTAATTTTCTGTCACACACAGGATACAACCCAGAGTTCTTTCCATGGTCTACCATACCAAGTTTTGCACAACTTCATCTGTCCCTTCTGCCGTCCCCTTGCACTGTGTCCCATGCATACTGACAACGTTAGTTTGTATAGCATGGAGGCCGTTACACCTGTTTCCTCTGCCTGACTGCTAGTCCTTCTAAAATTTTCATGCCTCAATTCCTTGTTTTCTTTAGTTTGACTCAAATGTTACTTTGTCAGAGTCTTTCCTTGGTAATTGTATATAAAGTAGCACCTCTTTGACTACCCTTTGTCTTGCTGCTTTTCTTCATAGCATTTGTTGCCACCTGTGTAAATATACTCACATATTTCCTTACTAGTTTGTATGCACGACATATTCTTGTATGTTTGTGTTTATATGACACATATTCTCATAGTAGTGTGTAGATTCGTGTGAGACACATTCTTATACTACAGTATGTGTTTGCACCATGCACATGTGTATTTATGTGTGTATAGTCTCTCATTAGAATAAAATTCCTTGTGGGCAGAGACTTTAAAGGTCTTGTTTATTCCAGCATTCTAGTCACCTGGAATGATCATAGTCTTACATATGACAGATATCATCTGTCCCCCTCACTGTTTTGTAAATAGTACCCAGTCAGTTTGTAAATACCTGATTAATATTTGTTGAATAAATAAACATATTTTCTCAAAGAATTGGTTATTATGCTTTTATCCTTGTCTTTTGACTAAAGACTTAATTGATAGCATAGTAAAAGTTATTTTAATTTAGGATTATTTTAGAATTCAAAACCTGTATTTTAAAGTCTGCTAAGAATTGAAATGCACTTTTCGTAATGTGATAAATTGTTGACTTTTAGTTGTTTCTTAGTTTTGTATTGCATTTCTTCTAACAAGTGGTAAAAACTTAAAATACTGAAAACAATTTTATTTGTCATTTTATTGGGTAGTGGGAATGAATTGTAGTTCGTTGATGCCATACTAGCCTTAATTTTTTTTCCTGATATTTGGCCTTCAGTTATTGCCAGTCATCAAAATTGATAAAAAATAATTGATAGCTAGTTATGTATTGGACACTGTGTTTGTATTGGTTATAATGATAAATAAGTCCTTGAAAGAGAAAGAATAGTCTCATGGTGTAGCCGTCACAAAAAACATTCCAGATTCCCAGGAAATCTTTCTTTTCTGATTTTACTCTTAGCAGCAAATATCTGGAGAAGATGAAATAGAATGCTCTGATAAAGATGAGCCCGAGACTGATGGGGATGTGTCCAGTGACTGTCCTACCATTCGGGTTCCACTCACATCTCTCAAAAGCCACCAGGGAGTGGTCATAGCGGCCGACTGGCTGGTTGGAGGGAAGCAGGCAGTGACGGCTTCATGGGACAGAACAGCAAACCTGTATGATGTCGAGACGTCTGAACTTGTTCATTCTCTCACAGGTACCTTAATGAGAACGTTGAACTTCCTGGTTGGGTGTTGTCAATTTATGTCCATGTATTTAAGTCTGATCTTGCAAATTATTTCTCACCAGAATTGCTTTTAGTCTTCTTGGCTCTTCTGTTGTAATTTTTGGAGATCTTTTCTAACTAATGGAACTAATGGTAGCTCAATTTGTTTTATCTTTAGGAGATTAATTATAGCATGTAGTAGCTAGGTATTTGAAATAGGATTTTTTGCACCAGTTTTCTATTTCTCTGTGACAAATTTCTGCAAATTTAGTATATTAAAATGACAGAATTTACCACTTCATGATTTCCTATGAAGGAGTTCTAGGTCCATGGTAGCTCCATCTTGGCCTGGGGCCCCAAAGACTGAAATGAAGGTCTTGCCCAAGCTGAACTTTTCTTTTGAACTTCCTAGTTGGGAGAATCCACTTCCTTATTACCGTGTGTGTGACTGAGACTCCCCGGGTTCTTTAGATGAAGACTGCTCTGAGCATCTAGAAGCCACACTTGGTTCCCAGAGACCTCTAAGGGCCTTTCCTCATGTGGCAGTTTGTTGTCTTCCAGACTAACAGGAGCATACCTCCACTGCTCTAAATCAGCTTCTTTGAGGGCCTGGGCTCTTTGACACCCAAGGTCTGGCCACCTAGGGTAGCCTTTGTTTTAATTAACTCAGAACCAACTGTGTAACATCTGTGAAATTCTCTTTGCCCTATAATGCATCATAATTTCTCTCACCATATTTATAATTTCTGCCCAAGGGAAGGGCATGCATTTTCCCAAGGGCTCACAGTATTTTGCCATTAGAATTTATTTTAGAGGTGAAGAATTAAGATTTAAGTCATTGTGCTTAGCCTGTTAAAGTGATGGGTCTGGCCATGTAACTGTTGGGATCAGAAAATAGACTGTACATATATCTGGTTTCCTGTTTCTTTTAAATGGGTGGCTGAAGGGGCTTCCAGCTTAGGAGAGAAAACTGCTCCCACTGTGAATCCACATGTTATTGAATGATTCCTTTAGATTTACTTTTCCATTGGATATTAGCAAAGGAGCCCATGAAGATGTGTTTTTTTATTCTTGTGTTTTTAAAAAAGCTTCACTCTGTACCTGCAGGTGGATGACCTTGCGTTTTTGTCATCTTCTGGTTTCAGGGCACGACCAGGAGTTAACGCACTGTTGTACACACCCCACCCAGCGGCTTGTGGTGACCTCCTCTCGTGACACAACTTTCCGTCTCTGGGATTTCAGGGACCCTTCCATCCATTCTGTAAATGTTTTCCAAGGACACACAGAGTGAGTTGCGGTCATTCAGATATCTTACCTAATAATAAAAAAGTTATGTGGATTGCCATTAAAACTTAATTATAATCTTAGTTTTCAGCATTTACACTTTATTCTTTTTAAAAAAGACTGTTCTCTTCCTTAACATTTAGTTCCACTTTTCAAAGGATTTTGGAGATTAACACATTCCTTCTGGTTTGAACCACCAGCAATAGCTACAAGATTGTCCCATTGTGTGACTCCTACCACGGGCAGTACAAACAGATTTAATCATTTTTTTAAAAAATTAATTTTATCGGTACATTTAAGGTATACAATATAATGACATTCATCTTTGGAAATTTGCACCTTTACATAATCCATCTTCGTTCTTATTTTTTCCCCATTTGCCTGCCCTCCCTTCAACCCCTCCACCCCTCCCTATCTACAAAGGCTTTGTTTCCATTTTTTCTTTTTCTCATATTAATTCCTTTCCCTTCTTTTTCCCTACTGCTCCCACTTCTCCTTCCCCTTTGCACCTTTTCTTCCTATTCCATGTTATCCATTATAGGTGTTAGTCCTTGTTTACACTTTTAGTTTCTCACACTAGAGTAACTATTTGGTGTTTACACATATGTGTCCTATTTACTTCACTTAATATCACCTCACTGTGCATTCATGTAGTTAGAAATGTCTCTAGTCTCTCATTCTTTATGGCTAAGTAGTATTCCATTTGATTAAAAAAAAAAAAAACCCACACTTTCTTTATCCAGTCTCCTGTTGATGGGCAGTTGGGCTGCTTCTAAGTTTTAGCTATCATGAATTGCGCTATGAACATGGGTGCACATATATCACTGTGGTATGATTCTTTTAATTCTTTAGGGAAGATACCAGCAGAGGGATAGCTGGGTCAAGTGGGACTACCAATCCTAGTTCTCTGAGGTATCTCCATACTGATTTCCACAGTGGTTGCACCAGTCTACACTCATACTAGCGGTGGAGCAGTGGAGCAGCAGTGTTTCTCTTTCCCCACAGCCCCACCAGCATTTGTTATTGGTCGATTTCATGATAGCAGCCACTCTTTCTGAGATGAGGTGAAAAATCTCGGTGTTGTTTTCATTTGCACCTCTTGAATGACCAGTGATGTTGAATGTTTTTCATATGTTTATTTGTTCTTTCTACTTCTTGCTCTGAGAAATGTCTGTTCATTTCCGATGCCATTTTTTGGTTGGGTCTTTAAATTTGGGAGGTTGTTTTTTTTAAGTTCTTTATGTATTCTAAATAGTAGACCTTTGTCTGAGGAAGAGCTGGTAAAGTTTTTCCCACATTGTGCGTTGTCTCTTCACACTGTTGGTTGTTTCTCTTTCTGTGCAGAAACTTTTTTAATAGACATCCCACTTGTTGATTGTGCTAGTTCATGGGCAACTGAAGTTTTGTTCATAAAATCTTTTCCTATGCCATTGTCTTCAAGAGTTCTACCTAATTTCTCTTTCAGCCAGTTTAGTGTTTCTGTTTTAATATTTAGTTCTTTAATCCATTTCAATTTTAGTTTAGTGCATGGTGAGAGATAATAGGTCTAGTTTTATTCTTTGGCAAGCTGAAACCCAGGTTTTCCAGCACCATTTATTAAAGAGGCTGTCTTTCCTCCAGCGAGGGTGTTTGTTGAAGATGAGGTGGCTGAGTGTGTCTGGAGTTGTTTCTATATCTTCTAATCTGTTCCACTGATCCTCAGGTCTGTTTCTTTGCCAGTATCATGCTATTTTTGTCACAGTAGCTTTGTAGTATAATTTCACATGGAAATTGAACAACACACTTCTGAATAACTAATGGATCACAGAGGAAATTAAAGAAGAAACCAGACATTTCCTACAATTAGATGACAATGACAGTACAGCATATCAGAATCTATGGGACACAATGAAAGCAGTCTTACAAGGGAAATTCATAGCAGTGAATACTCATGATAGAATAATAGAGCGAGCTCAATTACATAACCTGATGCTGAACCTCAAGCTTTCCAAAAAAGAAGAGCAGGACAAACCCAAAGCTCATACAAGGGTGGAAATTATAAAGATCAGGGCAGAAATCAATGCAATGGAGACTAAGAGAACAATACAAAAAATCAGTGATGCCAAGAATTGGTTCTTCACTGAGTAGTCTTGGCACCCTTCTTAAAGATTATTTGACATATATATGAATGCATATTTCTGGACTCTCTGTTTTGTTTCACTGGTCTATGTGTCTGTCTGACACAGAGCTTGGGTATTTCTTGATTCTTTTTTAAAACTCCCTTTCCCTACTCCTCTGTGTTGTTCCCCATCTATCCAGGCATACCTCACGAATACAGTATATCCTGTCTTTTGCTGCCCTTGCACCACTGTCCACTCCAGACTCTCACTGTTTCTTTTGTGGATGACTTGCTTGTCCTATTTAATACTGTGATGTTTAGAAGGGTACCTACTTTTAAATGCATGAATACTTAACTCATTTGGTTACTTGCAAATTTTGATGGGATTAGCATTAGACATTAAATTTTAGACTTATTTTAAAAAGGTTAATAAAGTGTTTGAAAGGAAAATAAAGTTTTTTAAGAAGCTTGAGATTGAGAATAAGTAGTGCCTCAAATCTGAGGCCCTGCAATATGTTAGTGGTCAGCAATTTGAATGTGCGTTGAGATCCTCATGTATATAGCTGTATCTGTTCTAGGAGGCTCTTGTGTTGTCATTTTGTAATAGCATCAGGTCTATTCTATGTTGAGCATTTCTGATCACAGTAGCAGTTAGTCTTTACCTTCTCGTGACTGAACTCAGCACAGGCTGCTGCTTTCTCTTGCACAGTATAGGTCCAGCTGTATCTGTGGAGCTCTGCTGTGTGGACTTCAATCCTATATGCTTAACTTATTAGTGACAAGGAGGCCGTGGCGGGGGGACAACTGCTTCCTAGCCAAATTAGCCTGGATGTGACACACTCCCTGGCAGCCACTACATGTAGAGGGGATCCAGCTGCAAAGTTTCCATCATGCAACGCTGTGTGCTGTGGGTAGAGTGAGGCCATACTTCTGTACCTCTGTTTGTCATTGTAGTGTACTTCAAGGCCCAGAGAGCACAAGGCCTGAGGATTCCAGCTCAGTCTTATTCCTGAACCTGCAGACATTTTTTCTAACCATTTTGTTTTGAAAAGTTTCAAGTTTACATAAAAGTTGAAAGACTAGTATAGTGAATATTCAGTTTACTCTTCTAGATTTATTTTATTCTACATTTGTTTTTTATCTCTATTTTTCTGCATAGACACATGTATCTGTCTATTTATACAGAATATATATTTATTTTCTTTGTGCCCTTTCAAAGGAAAGAGTTCTTTGGCTGAGCTAGCTGAGCATGTATCTTTTAAGAATAAAGATTTTTAAAAAAATGTATTATGTGATCAACCTAAGCAAATCAACTAAAATTTTATAACATCATTTACTATCTGGCTCATACTCAGACAGATTCGGTTGTCCCTAAAATGTCTGATATATATTTTTAAATACAGGATTTAATCAGTTCACTTGTTATGTTTAGGTATTATGGCCTTTGACCTCCTTTGTTTTTGGACGATTCTCCCTTTGTTTTTGTTATTTTTTCTGACATTGAGGTTTTGTGAATGCACGTTCTGCATTTCTCTCCTGATTTCCTTTTCTGCTAAAAGTTTCTTAGCTGTCCAGTGCCTTTTTGTGTCCCGTCAGAGCATGCACAATTCTGGGGTGGCCTTCTGTTGGGTGTGCTGAGCCCATAGCCCTTGTTGCCAGGTCTCCCCACTGGAAGGTGTATTTTCCAATTTGAAGTTAGTAAAGTTACATTTGGAGATACCTGCATGTCTCATTGCCCAGCAACCTTTCATCTAATTGATCTGACATCATTGATGATCCTTGTCTAGTTACACTGAGTGATGCAGAAGGATACTGTTCCTTATCCTGTCATTCTTTCTAATTAAAGTTGCCACTTTATGACCATAGACTTGTGGACATTGTTTCCACTTTGATACCCATAATCCTTTATTTTATTTTTTGCCTTTAGTATATTACCCTGTGGGCCCTTATACCTTTTCTATGGTCTCTGAGCCTCGCTGTCCTACAACTACAGTAAGATGCTCTAAATTGGAAAGTGCCAGTGGCTTCTCACTGAATTGACTACTAACCTGTACTGGACCAAGCAAGCTCCATCAGAAAGTAGAGAGTTGGTTTATCATTGGTTTATAGTTCATGTGTAGAGGGCAAGCTGTACTTGTATTTTTCATGTGGTTAGGACAGACATGGTCACAGAGAGACCAGCCAGCATGTCCCTTCTATGCTTGCTGCCTTCAAGGACATAATGGAAACCTAGGGAAAGCTGAAGCATTGTGTGCAAAGGATGGTACCAAATGAGCAGGATTTGGTGAGTCCTGGGTGTGCTGGACTGTGTGTAGTCAAAACACCTCCCATGGTGGACTTGCTGTCCCTCTGACAACCTGGCTAGCATCATCCCTGTTCCAGAGAGAGAAACTGAGGCACAGGAAAGCTAAATGATTTGATGAATGTAGTGTTGCCTTGGTCTTCAGTGGAGTTTGACTCTCGAGGAGTAATTCTGAAGCAGTGATGGTGCACCCATGCACATGTGCAGGCTGTTAGTCAGCCTTGAAAGCTCTAGAGCAATCTCCCAGTGTCTTCAGGTTACCTTGTATTACTTGAAGGTTCTTTTAGGCACATTCTGTCAGTGTTGCTTGCCTTGTTTGAAAACTTTTATTTTTTATTTGCACGGAAAGAAATGACAATATATTCCTGAGAGTTGATGGAAGTATGTGATTTAGCTTTCGAAGTTGTTTCAACAGTAGCTTTTTCAGTTGCATTCTTCTGGTTGTGATGTTTGAAATATCTAATTAATGGTGTATTTTTGCAGCTGATAAGTATGAGAATTACACTTGGTTATGAAGGAGCTCTTAATGTAGACTTAGAAATATGATTTTTAGCTTAGTCATCTAAATTATTGGTCAGACTTTTTTTTGGTACTGGGAATCGA